CGAGTTTTAAGAAAATAAATAAGAGCAAACAATTAATAATTTTGTGTTTTGATATTTCAGTCATTGTTGTGACAACACCATCAGTATATCGATATTACGCGATACTTTAGAGCTTGTTATTTATTTTATTATTATAAATGAAGACTCGACTTTGACAATTTTTGGCATTAAATTTATCAGCTTTTTATAATAAAATGCACTTTTGGGATTATTTACGTGTATTTCAAAAACAAAAATCCCGTTATTTCAAATATTATATGGAATATTTTAATGATTAAAAATTTTTCAAGTAAAAAAAATGAAGACTGTTTTTCTTTTTTTACTTGGAAAAAATAAGCGAATTTATTACAAAAAAACTATTCCCAAAAATAATAAACAAAATAATTGCAAATAATCAGGACTTTTGAAAACCAGTTTATTATATTAGAATTTCGATTTTTCATTTAGATTTTTTTTAATTTTATACTATTCACGGTCTTCAAAACAATCAAAGTTTTCCAGTTTTTTATTGTTGTATGAAATTCAAATCACTTGAAAGTTATGATGTGTTATTTAAAAAAGTCGAAGAGCTATGTGAAACACCAATTTTTCATCAAAATAAAATTGAAATGGGGGATTTCGAACTGGTTTATTTTGGTAGACTTTTTGGAAAAGATACAATAATAAAATGTTGTCATTTTCATTACTGTCAATCGTTGTTTCGAAGGGTTTCATATCTTGGTCTTAAAAGAAGGTGTGTTGATGGAGACCAACTTAAATTTATTGTGAAAAAGTTAACATGTCTTCAGTATCTTCCAGAAAATAGAATTAATTCCGCATTTGATGAAATTGTAAAAGACAACAACAATGAAGATATAAACAACGTGTTGATTTATTTCAAAAACAATTATTTAATCGGGGCTTTTAAGAAACGGGTTTGGTGTGTCTATGGATTAACTGAAAGGACATCAAATCGCGCAGAAAGCTTTCATTCTGCTTTAAACAGATTAAGTGGGTTAACACATTCAAATGTTCGCGTTATTATAGAAAAACTCAAAAAATATCTAAAAATATTGAATGTCAAATTTTTTTCAATACAACACATAGTTAATTAAACGACAACAAAACAAAAAAACCACTGAGAAAAATATGTCAATTAAAGAAAAACAAAAAGGGTTATTTAGTGAAATTCCTTTGACATCGAAACAATTTTTGATAGATTGGATAATCATTTTAAATAGAAAAGAAAATAGAACTGTTTTTGAATCTGATGCCGAGTCAAGTGCGCTTGGGGTTGATAATGAAAATAAAATTATCGAAATATTAGAACAAGAAGATAATTGTACAAATATTGGTGGAACACAAGAAAAAACAAATCAGAAATTACAACCAACTGAACAACATATAGATACAGAGTTTGGTAAATTTACATTATAACAAAATGAAAATCGAATTAATACACAGAGAATATAATTTATTTGACACAATTGTAAATGACAAAGAAATTCAAATTGAGAAACGAAGTTGGCAATCAACCGAGTGTTTTTAGAAGATGTTGAATTATCAATGCAAAATAACAATTATAAAGCACCCAAATTAAAAAAAAGAAAAAGTGTTGCAAAAGAAACTAATAGATTGATGAAAACAATGTCAACTCAGAGAAATTCCAAAAAGAAAAGAAACAAACTTAACTAAATTATTCGAATTAATTTACAAATCTATATCAGTATTTATTTATTTTTATTATAACATAATATTTTATTATTTAATTAATATTGTTATTATTTAAAATATAATGATATTTAATTAACAATAAAAACATAATTTAATTGATGTTTTATGTCATTTAATATAAGCACATTTTTTATATAAAAATATTATATATTATAAAACACAAATAAAATGATCATTTGTTGTTTGTGT